TGTGCTGTAAATACTGAGCACATGTGCATGAGACTGTGTCATTAGATGGTGTGTTTTAGATCAAGAGATGATGTCATATTTGTGCTATTTGTCATTCGAGAAAGCAAACCAGCCTCTGAGGAACTAGTAGATTACATTATGTGTAATGACAGGACAGAGCACACATGCTCTCCTCACGTCTCACACAGTGATGTCATCCCTTTAGTTAGATCCCGGCAGGGTCTCAAGTGCTGATTATTTTAGATATTAGTTCAGCCTCTGGAATGTCTTTGATTTTCTTATTATGGTGTGTGTGGTCATGATCTCCACCAGATACTGATGCTCTGTATCTTCAATTGACTCTATAATTGTGTCTAGAACAACAGCAACTGGTGTCTCTGGCCACTTGAGACAATCGCTAACACATTCTTGTTATTTTTTTCCAAAGGGTTTCAGGCTATATGACAACAGTGCAGCCAAAAATAAACAGCTTTTGTCTTGCATAAAAAAAGTTTCACAATTACACAACAATCTCTTTTAAACAATTCGCACACTGTGAATAATGTTGTGTTACGTATGGAAGGCCTGTATTTGCTGCTGCCATCTTGTTAGTGAACCGTATCTGTAAGAGACAACATGCTGCATTAGGAAACACTTTAGCAACAATACTGCCATGTAATCTATTGCTGTGTAGGTTTATTTACCCTTGTCCTTAATCTACGCCAGTGGCATGTGGTGAGGTTTGTGGCTGGTGAGGCACAACACTTTCAGGGTCAGATTTACAAATATATGCAACCAGATTGCAGGTGTGGATGATGACCGGTGAGGCACTGCCTCCCCTGACCACACATACAGTAGGTCCATGCACATGACATCATCATTGACATGGACATGACAAAGGCTGTGTTTTTTAAAAACGTACAATTTGAAACCCATTTTCAAATGTATGTGTTTTTAGTTCCCAACATGACTTCATGTAAACAAACAAGCCATCGTATAAAAAGATTCCTGTTTTTTTTTTTTTTTTTTTTGGATGAAAACTTTATGTAAAATGCCGATGTTGGCCACAAGATTTCTGTTTACTCCGCATTTAATGATGTTAATTTGGTTCCAAACCTTTAAGTTTTGGGTTTGCTGTTGAACAAAAATAGAATATATTTTGAAGAATACTGGAAAGCTATAACCATTAGCATATATATAAAACAGCGTTTCCATTCAATGAGTCAACGACAACAAAATTGTTACTGTACCTTGACAGATCTGGTCAATAATATTATAATAACACTGATACTGAAAATCGGCTGTACGGTGGCGCAGTGTGTTGTTCGATCGCCTCACAGCAAGAAGGTTGCTGGTTCGAGCCTCAGCTGGGTCAGTTGGTGTTTCTGTGTGGAGGTTGTATCTTCACCCTGTGTTCCCGTGGGTTTCCTCTTGGTGCTCCAGTTTCCCCCACAGTCCAAAGACATGCACTATAGGTGAATTGAGTAAGCTAAATTGTCTATAGTGTATGTGTGTGAACGAGTGTGGGGAATGAACGAATGAATGAATGAATGAATGATACTGAAATGGTTATGGCATTTTAGAATGATCAAAACAACATTTCAGATGTTTTACAATTTGAGCCTGCCGCCGGTTTTTCCATTCCCACACGTTTTTACCACCACATGATCTTTTATAACAAAATCACATAACTTTTTATTTATTTGCTTACGGTAAAAGTGTTTTATCGAATAAAGCGTTTATCTTACTCGTGTGCATACATTTTTAAGCCCATTTTCAAGACTTATGCTCATCTTGGCGTTTCCATCAACCTTTTTTATGCGCATAACCAAAATGCGCATAAAAATAGGTGGATGGAAACAGCTAGTGTTTTCTATAGGGGGAAAATATTCCATAAGTCATCTGCTGCTGGTTTCCATTTTTCATTATATATTTTGTGCTTTCAGGAAAAAAAAAAAACTTAGCAAGCAGTAAATTATGACAATTGTCATTCTTTTGGGTGAACTATTCTTTTCAGTTAGAGATAGGGTTAGGGTGTCGGTGCGCGCGTGTATGAGAATGAGAAGGATAAGTATTGCAGTGGAAACATTGCAGTCAGGATAATGAGCTAGAAATAGTGCAGGGCAAATGCCATTCTGCATGTATGCAAGTGCTTAAATGCCCTGCAGCTACCATGGTTTACTTCTAGGTTGCTGTCTAGTCTCTCTTCATTGCACAATAGCTTGTTTTTCCTTCCCTAATGTCGCGTCATCTTTATAGTGCCTCCTTGTATCATTTCTTCTATATGTGCAATACATATTTTTTCTCATTGTCCATTTTATAATAATCGGCATTCAAGCAGGAGCAGAATATGGTCATCTGTTTAGAGGACGGAACACAGTTGTTTTCATATATTTAACTTCTTAATTGCTTGGTCATAACCTTCTGCTTTTCTGACTGAATAAGATTGCTGCTTTTTATAGGAAAATAAAACCTTACTACAGCTAAATTAAAATTGATGAATTTCACAAAGAAACTGAACTGACCCTGAATTTCTAACTTAAGCGGAATAAATGCATCCTAGATGCATACTTTTTCAGGATTGCATGTGTTATTTGCAGTTTGCAAAATTAATGACATTTTATTAAGCAAAATATTAAACATTAAACAGTTGTTTTCAATATAAATTCATACATTCATTTTCCTTCGGCTTAGTCCTTTTATTCATCAGGGGTTGCCACAGTGGAATGAACCGCCAGCATGTCCAGCCTATGTTTTACACAGCAGATGCCCTTCCAGCTGCAACCCAGGTCTCGGGAGAAATGCCAACTGACCAAACTGGCACTCGAAACGGTGAACTTCTTGCTGTAAGGCAGCAGTGCTAACCACTGAGCCATCTTGTCGCCCAACATAAATGTCAACATAAATTACTTAATTTTTTTCAGTTGAGTAAAATGTAATTTTAAAGATCTTGTGACTTTGAAGATTGGAGTAATGCTGAATTCATCTTTGCCTTAACCTCTAAGGGTGCTTTCACACTTGGTTCAATTGCCTGGACTGTACCCAAGTTCGATTGTCCCCCCCCCTTGCCACCTTCTCGGCTGATTTGTGTTCACACTGTCTATTTTCCTTCTGAACCCTTGTATCATCGAGCTGCTGTTTTGTTTATAGCTGTTGCTAGGTGACAGTCACAAAAGTAAAGCGCCAAAATGGAAAGGTGTCCGCACATTGCAATCGTTCTGCTTTTTTTTAGGTTTTGAACATACAGAAAGTGACTTGCGTCCATCTGCTGCAAAAATATTATAGACGTTCAGAACATCACACAGTGTCTGCTGAAGCTGTTTTTTTAGGAGACGAGCAGACATTATTACTGTGTTTCCCCTGGCTCAGTCCTGCTTGTCAGTACAATACATGACACACACGCTAATGAACGTTATGAAAACGATAGTTTGTTGTACAGTTGGCAGTTCCCTTCCATTATGTGGTATGATTGCATTCATGCCAGAAGTGGATCGGACCAGAGTTCGTCTAAACCGTACCCCAGATCACCTCTTCCAGGCGGACTAAGGTATGGTTCACTGTTGCGCACCTGAGTTCATAACACACGTTCACATTAGCTAAACGTACCATTCTCTGACCTCAAACGAAGTGCGGACCTAAAGTGCTTGTGTGAAAGCACCCTAAAAGTAAAGTGCTATTTTGGGGTTTCCGCCTGGATTTTGCCTACCCAAATTCAAAAGCTTCCCAACTCCACATACAGAGGTGAAAAGGCAAATGTTTGGTATCATCTTAAAGAAAACCCTTTGAATTTTCATAAAACACTTTTGGAAGTGATTTAAAAAATGTGCTGTCTGTGTTATAATAAACCCCATCAAAAGTGGCTCTTTTTTTAATTTTTTTTTGTAAACTTAAACTTGAAAGTGTACCTTTTTAGGTTATGTGTGGTCTAGGTTGCTGTAATTTAATTTTGATAGTTCCTGCATATGTCAGTACCATAGGAACCATAGTACCAGTCCCATAGGAAAAAAGAAAAATATATCTATCATAATCTGCGCGAAATTTATTTTATTCCAACTGATGAGAAAACAGAGCCACTTATTGGGCCTGTGCAGACCTTTAAAATTCTAATTTAAAGAATATGGAAGTAAATGAAATCATGGACCCGGTACCAGGTACGCAGAACAGGAAGAATTTGTTCCAAGATGTATTCAAATAAAGTGCATGCAGTCATTTGAAACTGTAATAATATTACAATGTATAAAGTAGTAAATTCTACTTCTACTCTGTTACAATCCATTTCTTTGTTTTGACTTGACTTTTGGTGCTTTTTGTCTTGTCATTTTTTTATATAACTCGCACACATCAGCAGTTAATGTCATCCCCTCAAATGGAGTAACTGTATATTACATGAGAACTTCTGCATTGGGTCCTAATATGGGTATTTTATCTCATTTGAACCCCAGGCTAACAGGTGCACTTAGTCTGAGTCTTTGAAACTCTTCAGTAAACCTGAGAAGAAATTCAAGCAATGCAGGTTTTTTTTCTAAACTACAGAGGCCAGGACAGTTAAAAAGAAAAAAAATTTAAACCTATTTAGCACATCTGTTAATATTAGGAAAGCAGACCGGGAAAGACTCTGAGTCCATAAGTCAAGTGATTTTTCTACTACTGACACGCCGTCTATTATTTAGTCCCTCCTTTGAGCACTTAGCACAACAATATGACTTGGCAAGTCTTGCTCCTCATGGCAAAGATCTTGCTTTTCCACTCTTTCTCTTGCTCTCACTACCACACGTATGTCACCGCTTAGAGATGAGTGGAATTTCTTGTTCCTTTGAGCAACTTATCTTCACTTACTTTCTCACCCCTTCAGCTGTCCCAAAAGCTAAACACACATTCACTGCATGCAGCTGCTAGCGCACACAACCGCTACTGTCTGACTAATGCGTTGTTGTCCTTCCCGTTCTTTACAGCATGTCTTTCTCTCGGTCAGTCCTTCCTCATGCACCAGTGTCAGTTTTGTTAATCAGATTAGCAGCGAGCAGCATTAGCACTGTTGTTACTTTGCTAGCATGTAGCAGTAGCCATGCAGAGCCTCTCCGTTTGCACACTGTCATAGTGTTAGAGAGATACTGCTCTCCTCCTCCTTTCGCAGCACTCTCTCTCTCTCTCTTTCTCTCTCTCTCCACCTCCCTTCTCTTTCTGTCCCAGGACTGCTGCAGCTAACTCTGCATCACCTTGCAGTTTTAGACTCTGCTGGCTTTCTGCAGTCCTGTCTCTCTCTCTCATATTTTCCTCCTCTTTTTGGTCCTTCACATCCCCCCTCCCTCCTTTCTGGTCACTTTACTTTCTTATCTATCATCCACCTCTCATTTCATTGTCAAAATGTATCGGAACCCTTGGATCTCCAACTATATCAACCATGTCAAGTTGTGCCAAGGTGAGTAAATGGCAGTTCAGGGTGGAACAGGGTAGGACGGGCCCACCACATTTCTGTTATTGCTGTTTGTGTTTACAGAGTACTACAACCTCCAAGGAAAGAAGCATTCGGGGCTTTAAAGGAGAACTTGTGTTAATGCTTTTATTTTTTTATTTTTTGCATACTGTGGTTTAGATACGAATGCTTTAAATAGTTTGAATTCTATAGTTGAGTCTGCTAGGCAGTTTAAGAGAGTTGCCTTTTAATGGTTTTGTTTTGGTCTGTGCACTTGCGCAACAGCACATGCTTTTTCATTTATTCTGTGTGTTTTTAGTTAAATGGTGTGTTTTGTAGCAGGTGTTTTTGTCCAGCGGAGCATATAAGTAAAAGTGACTTGTTATTGTGATACTTGTATTCAGATGTTAAAGAATAAAAGTACCTCACAGTATAGTAGTTAGTTTGAATGTAAATGGGGTTAATGCATGAATGTATGAATGGGTTTTAGAGATTCCCCGTCACCTAATTCGCCCTTTCCTGGAGTGCAGACACCAGCTGTCTTATTTAATACTCTTAAGATCTTCCCCCTTGTTTGTGCGTTAGTAAAATGATAGTTTTATCATGCATTTTGAAGGGAAGTGCAAATTTCTGAACTAAAGAAGTTGAGCTCGTATTAAAACATTAAAACAAGCTTTAATACTGTGATTTAAGGGATGGCATACAGTATGATGGCATACTTCCTGTGCCCACACTGGCTAATCCTATTTCTCTTGAAGACTAATCCTTTATTAGCTGAGACAAGCGCTACACTAACACCTGACTGCCACATTTTTGCCCTGCGTTTTCCTATTTAACAAGCTTTGTTCAGTAACAAGTGCATTCTGATTTCATCACTAGCAGGTGCTTAGTAATAAATCACTATTCTTTCTTAATTGCATTTGGTGGTTGTTAAATAAATAATTTAATCTACTAATACATTACAGCTCAAAATGTTTATCCTTTAAATCCTTTAAAGTGTTTCCTGTTGTCTTTGTCTAAGCGATAGTTCACCCAAAAATGTTCATTCTTGTTCTAAACCTGTTAGACTTTCTTCTGCTGAAAACGTAAGATATTCTGAAGAATGATGGAGTTGATTTCCATAAAGCTTTGTTGTTCTTACTATGAAAGTCAATGGCTGCTTTTTCTTTAGAATATCTTGTGTTCAAGAGAAAGAAAGATCAGTATATTACAATGATTTCTGAATATGACACTGAAGGCTTGAGCAATGGATAAATTATAATTATATATATATATATATATATATATATATATATATATATATATATATATATATATATATATATATATATATATATATATATACACACACACATATACACAGTTCTGTCTGGTTCTTGAATCTGATTGGCTGATAGCCGTGATATATTTAAGTAATATCAGCACCCGTAAAGCCTCTTTACCCTTTGTGTATTACTCCGCCCACATACAACCAGCAAAAAGCAGACACTACAGATCTTTAAAGTTTAAAAGATGCTTGCTCAGCAGTTTAACTGTCAGCTTATGATTTAAATCCAAGGCGGAAGAAAGTAGTTCCTCATACAAAAGGGTTTTTGAGACTCTCCATGTTTGATTTAGTTTTTATGTTACTCGTGTGTAACATATACACAATTATGCCGTCAAACTGTTGTATAAACGAAATATCGCACTCGTAGCATTGCGTCATGGGTGTATATCTGCCATATCGCACTGCTACGAGTGTGATATTGCTCATATATATATATATATATATACATATATATATATATATATATATATATATATATATATATATATATAATTTTATTTATTTATTTTTTTTAGTTGTTTTACTGTACTGTAAATCTGTAAATAACAATCATGCAATGTTTGCATGAAAATTTTATCAAATTATTTTAATCAAATTTCTAGTAATCTCAACTAACAATCAATCATACTTACTAAACATATTGAGTTAAACTTTGTATGATCCGTTGAATCCTGATTAACTTATTAAATAAGTTAAAGTAACATAAAAACAGGATGACACAGTGGCTTAGTGGTTAGCACTGTCGCTTTACAGCAAGATCGTTGGCTCGAGTCCTGGCTGGACCAGTTGGCACTTCTGTGTGGATCTGCATGTTCTCCCCGTGGCCTTTTGTGTTTCCTCCAGGTGCTCTGGTTTCCTCCACAGTCCAACGACATGCAGTATAGGTAAATTGGATGAACCAAATTGGCCGTAGTGTATGAGTGTGGGTGTTTCCCAGTACTGTGTTGAGGTAGTGTTGATGTCATGATGGCATGAAAGAAGGGCATCCACTATGTAGCTTAGTGGTTCATTTCACTGTGGACACCTCTAAAATAGAGCATAAGCTGAAGGAGAATGAATGAATGAATGAATGAATAATGGACATAAACACATTTGTTGTCATGACGTTTTGTCATAACATTTTTTTAAATATTGTGATTCGTGTGTTCTAAATGTTTCTCCATAAACAGCGACAGTCGTTAGAAGTGAGATGGGTTTATGATCTCATCATAGAACAGGCTGTGGCTTGCTTCAACAGTATCTTTTGAATCTACACTACCTGATGTCAGATACTGCAACAGTTCTACATTTTAATCAACATAAAATTAACCTAAAGTTTCAGAGCTGTACGATCACCCTTAATATGATGCATGCTGTAGATCTCAGAGGTATATTGGTGTGTCACAGGGCTGTGGAATAACATGCGTGCCATCTGAAGAGCTTTGAATGCCACACTTGACTGTGTCTGATTAGCATCTGTACTTAAGAGGGCACAGAGCCAAGGTGTTGAGGATTTCCACACACGTCTGTTAATGGTGGGTGCTCTCAACAAGACCATGCAGTGAATGCACCTAATGATCATTTTAGCAATCATTCTAGTTTATCTGCATTGCAAACTGTCAGTTTGCGTGATGGTTTTGTGTGTTTTGTTCCTGCTTCTGGGAACTATTGTCATTAAAGTGTTTTTATTTGCAGTCTAGTGTTAATTTACTGCAAGGCCATTGAAAAATGTGTCAGCCGTTTGTTTGTTTTTAAAGCTGACTTCATTAATCATTGTTTGCCTGAATGACAACAGCTTTGTAGGTGAATTGTTGCAGATGCCGTAATAAAGCATTAGTAACATATGGTAAATGAATATGTCCTCATGTGATATGATAATGTCTTCTGTCTTTTTCATGACTTCTGTTGTGATGTGACTATAAAACATTTTGTAGGGCTCCTGCAGTTTACATTTTTGTTCAGTTCTTTTTGATATTTTGTCAAGCTGAATATGTTTGGTTTCAATTAAGATGCCCTAATGTACTTTTCACACTGCACTTAACTTATAAGATTATTATTGTTCTAAATGCCACCTATAACCAAAGTCCCTTTAAGGCAAGTCATTTCACTCGGTGGCAGGCCCGTATTGGCTAATCGGGAGGACCGGGAGAATACATGGTGGGCCGGTACGTTTTTATTTTTTTATTTTTGGCCGCGAGGGCTGGTGTCCCTAGCTGCGTGCACTCTCAGCAGTCGAACTTTTTTCATTTATTTATTTATTTATTTGACCATAGCCTCACTCCTTTTTATTTATTATTTTGCTACAGCTCCGCTCCTTTTATTTATTTTCTCGCAGCCCTGTGAGCAAAATGCAGCCTGCAGGTTATTGATGTAGTACAGTACCTATCATTCAACTCCCCCAACAGCAGAACCTTGCTAATCAGCAAAGTCATTTAAGAGATATGTGAGAGATGAAAAATTGATAATGAAAAGCGCAAAGGAGGCGCTGAAAAGGCCAAAATTTTATTATCATTAAAAGAGTTCACCAAGCTTGAACTTTCCAATGCAAAACTTGTCGCACAAGCTTGTGTTTCTGGTCTGGCGCATTCATGTGTGTAAAAATGGAAGTCTAAGGGGAGAAAAATGCAGTGTGACCGCAGCTTAATGATCGTCTGATCAAGCTGCTCTTCTGAAGTAATTCACAACTTGGTTTTGATGGTGAATCTCCTCCAGAAATGAAAGTGACTGTTCACAAGTATGTGAGTAATTGCTTCTGATATGTGATGTCTGTTTGACAGGATGGATTGTACCTTGGGTTCGTTTCATACAGATTACAAAACAAGAAAAGTGTGATGGGTTCATTTAAAAGTACAGATTTTAGGCTTGATGTGGTTATGTTTTTTTTATGTCTGTGAAGCAATTATTTTCGGAGGGTGTACTCACACTATGAACTGTTGCCTTAAACCGGGCCAAAGCACGCTCGTCCCCCCTCCCGTCTCCCTTGACAGCCCGCACTCACATTACATTCAGGCCAAGGCACACTTACGTCATAGATGATGCACAGGTCAGAATCGCTCTCGCTTGGCACAGTGGAAATTTCTTTTGTTATGTCGTTTGACATGCAGTGACATGCAGTCAAATATTTAGGCGAACAGATCAAACACTTTGACGCTCATAAACAATCATAAAGTCCTCATGCTGCAGAAATTAGGAGGTTTTCTGAAGGTGCAGCTTTCGTGCCTAGTCAGGGTTTTGCATCTTTAATAAACTACGACAGTTTGCGTTCATTAAACAGTAAGAATGATTAATAAATCCATATCAAACAGTCGCTTAAAAGTCACGTCTCGCTTTCAGTTTTGGACTCTGGCGCACTTTGCATTCACACACAAGCGTACCGCGCCAAAGCCCAAGTGAACCGCGCCTGAGCCTGATTCAGTACACTCACACTTCTCAAACGATCCAGGAAATGGGCCTGGGCATGGTTCGGATAGCATAGTGTGAGTAGGCCCTGAGATTCCAGTGTGTTTGTTGACCACAAAAACTGTTATAAAAGCACACGTATGGTTAAGACTTCTCCCCCAGAGAATCGTCAGTCTATAGTAATCAATGATTGGCTCCTGTACTAGAAGGCAGGGCGTCATTCGCAGTATTGACCGTTACACTTTCCCCGTTCAAAACTATACGAGTGACTTATACTTTGTTATAACCCTAGACAAAGACCCATTTCAAACCAGTAGTTTTGAAAGTGGTGTTAGCACCATGTTTTACACGGAGTTATAAAACCCTGTTCCAGAGCAGGATTTGAGGTGTTCATCTTAAGTTTGTTCAGTGTGAAAAGGAGCAGTGTTTGCTTGTTGCTGCAGAGACAGCCAATCAGTAATTGAGCTACGACGTTACACACATCACGTCACAATATCTGCATTGTGTAAACAGCAGCCAGTGAGAGATTACATTAAGTAAAATCTTCAGAAATGATTGTCGAGATGATTTTTTGCTGTTCTTCCAATCAGACACTGTGATGTTGCAAATATGCAAATTACAACGCTAACCCAGGTTTAGAAATATACAGTGTGAAACATCTGTTGCAAGATCATTTGTAAACCCCAGATATGCCATAATGAGTAGTGTGAAACATGATTATACCGTAGATATTCCAGGATTCTGTTTATCTTGGGATGAGGATGACCCAAAGTTACCAATTTCAAGTAAAAATGCTCTTAAGATGCAGAGAGTCCTAAAATATTGCGACTGAATAAACTGAATTTGAGAAAAGATCAAATGGTATTTGAGGGGAAAAAAAGATTTCATTGGGCCCTACTTCTCACGTTCCTTCCAAAACAATCCTGTACTTTCTTTCCATCCCACTGGAGTTGATGTTGCCTTGTCCCCTGCCCTATGACTCTGAAGTGAGAGGAGATTTTTAGGTAGTGAGGAATGTTTTTAGCAGATACTTGCCCCAGCTGTGAAAACTCACTGCGTACCAAAACAGTCCATTGGTTGACTCTTTCATTCACTTTCTCTTCTCAGCTAGTGTTTGGAAAGAAAGATATTTAACCTGTGTGAATATTGGTTTTTGGGATGTGAAACAGGGCGTTTGGTCTGTGTGGGTGAATGTGTGGTCAGGCTATTGATCTGTGGGTAAAGTGGAAACACATGTTCGGCTCTTCCGATCTTCTGAGGCTCAGATGTCAGCTCTCCATGTGTTCCTCATAGAATTAATGCCACACCTGAACAACAACACCAGTATTAGTCATTTTATTGCATTATTCAAGCAAATAGGGAAACAGCATTTATGTTAAATTGACCCCATGAGAGTGAATTTATTTATTCATCCTTTTTTTAATACAGGAGTGGGTGTTCTCACCATGTTATTTGTTTTATTTTTTCGTTTTATTTCAAGCACAATATATGGATGCAACAATTAACCAATTCACTGTTAACCTCGCTTTAATTCGTCATGGGTAATTAAAAAGCTTCTCAACAACGTGTTTCTGTAATAAAACTGCTGCAACTAAACGAAGTTACACCAACTGTGCACTAGTTTAAAATTCTACTACCTAATACCCACACACGCTAGATTAACTATGGCTCAGGCTATTAACTAAGGGCTGTTCGCATGTTGTTTTTGGAGCACGCAAGTTGGTTATTTCTTTTCTTGTGTGCATATTGGGAGTGACGTAAATGTTTTCCAGGCCCATCTAGTTGAAAGAATGGCACAAGCTCACTACAAGTCACCTGACAAGAACTGGACCAATCAGCTTAATTCTTCGTATGGAATATACACATGTCTAGGAGAAGCAGTCTTTGACTACATTTGTTCTCTTTAAAAGGGAAATACTTTTAGTAATGCTATTCTAATACTTGTATTAATGCTACTATGTAGCTCAGATTTACATTAGATTAATACAGGGGTGCCCAAACATTTTCTTAAGAAGGGCTAAAAACCAAATTTGATTAAGGGTGGTTGGCCAAAGTTAAATAAACCAACTTTATCACATTAAAGTCACATGATAGTTTCCTAATTTCTGACTGTATTAAATAAGTAGAAGAAATGACTTTATTTGTATTAATAACTATACAATTTAGTGCATTTTATAATTCACTTCTTACAGTAAAAACATTAACAATTCCATTTATACAGTAACTTGATGGAGATCAATGCTGAATACACTAGTCAAGCTGTATCTGCCTTTGTCTTGATTTGCTCGCAAATGTCTTGTGCATTTAATTCAACTTAATTAAACATTTTATTTCAGTTTGCTTTTTTTCTAGCTCAACAATTAAACAAACAAAAAGTTATGTTAAATTTGAAATGACAATTTCTTTTAAAGGCATTTCCTCCAACTATCATTCTCAGATAGGATGGCGGGCCAAATCAAAGGGTATTCTTTCTTTCTTATTTCTTTCGTTCTTTCATTCTTTCCTTCCTTCCTTCTTTACTTCCTTACTTCCTTACTTGAAATGAATGAATGCATTATAATTGTAATAACCATGAAACTGTGATTATTCCTCAGACAATAATCATACAACTAAAATCTATAAGCGCTGCATCCTTATACAATAATATTTATACAAATATTCATTATGTCTAGAAATAAGTGACTGTGACCTAGAATACTTTATTAACTTTAAAAAACAGTAAGAATACACAGTTAAACCCCACTATGTTTTACACTAATTTTGCTTCAATACTATTAATATATTTTTTCATTTGGCTTAACATCATATCATGATGTACAGTAATTACATCATGATAAATATATTATATATGCGTATAGTAATATTTAGTGTTGTACAGAATTTCTTAGTGTTTTTAAATTCTTGCTCTTGAATAAAATTAACTCATAAACCAATCTATCAGAGTGTATTAATACTTATTTTTTTTGTTTTAAAGGGACTTTATTACAAATTAATAAAAATGTATCATGTATTTATATCGTGTAATTAAATAACATGAAATTGCATTTAAAGTTATTTTTATTTAAATAATTATTTATTATTTTTATTTATTTATTTATTTATTTATTTATTTATTTATTTATTTATTTATTTAATGTATTATTTCTTGATGTTTGCCCTAGATTACTTTACATAATGTGTCAGTAAAAATACATAAGCCTCAAAGTTTGGTAAAAAAAAAAAAAGTGTATTTTATATAAATTCTGTGTAGATTTATTTTATTTTTTTATGCTTACTCTTGAAAATAATGGTGGCTTTTAAGAGAAGTGGTCTAAGAAGTGTTTTTGTGCATAATGTAATGCTTCAGATAACATTCAGATGACTTCATGCATTACATACTGGACACTTTGACTAACAAAACCACTGAATGCAGCATTCAGCACATGAGCCTGGACGTTAGACTCTGTGTGCATACAGATATACTGATGTGTGCATACAGAAACAAGTCGTTTCAACTGTGGACACGGCACCATGTTGACATCCATGAAATGGATACTATTGTTTTCATTCCTGGCCTTCACATGGGACCTTTGAAACGTCTTTTGCTGATCACTTCTGTCACCTGGAGGAGTATTTGTGGTCTGAATATTATTCTTTCTTTTGTCTGCACAGGCTTCACCAGAGAAACAGCCCCTAAAGTTGGCAATACCAAGCAACGGAGAGCTCTTAGGTAAGATCCTCATTTTTATTTCATAATTTAGCAAAGTTTTTATGTAACTTTTGGTTTGATTGATTTTATAAGCTCACTGGAAAAGATCTGCAACAACAGAAATTTAAAGGACTCCTACTGTATTTTACCCCCTGGTATCTCCAGAATGTGTGTGTAAAGTTTCAGCTAAAAATACCCATCAGTTTTTTAATTTTTTTTATTTACCTTTCTGAATATGGGACTTTTTGAGGTCTAAGGACACTGTAGCTGTTTTTGTTGTCGTTGCTTTTAATGCATATGAGCTTGTTCCCCCCCACCCACCGTTCTTACATGTGAGTCATAGAGTCTATAGAGATCTCACGCTATTGCTCTGATGCGTGTAGCCTTCTACGGCTGCATCTCATGTCAGATAAACAGCACAGTGACAGACACGAAGCAAGTAGATCTTCCATTTATGACAAATACTACAGTAAGATTTTTCACTATGGTTATTTGTGTTTGTTGGGGGTTTTTATTTAAGCCTTTTTGCAACGATCAGTCACACTAATGCCGTTACAAAGTTTGGAGTAAGACAAACACACAAGCACACACACGTTTAACTTTTCACTGTTTTTGCATCGTCAATGTGACAGAATACATGTCATATGCACTGCTGTATGGATATCTGTTATGTAAGTGTACAAAATAAACCTGATTTAACATCCACAAACTGGGATTGAAGCATTGTCTTTTACAGTTGTACTGACACTATGTACCTGTGGTGATAAATTAAATAGCGATTTTACTGTCACAAACACACACTGTTTTAAACTTGTAAAACTCATTCTTGAGGTGGAGCTGATCATCGAGAGTTGGAATGGATGTTTCATTCCCACTTACTTTGCAAGTGCACTCTTTAAACTGTTTAAATGTCACTATTTTAACATTAGGAAATTTAAAAAAAGAGACTTGTGTTTATATCACTCCAACATGACAGTCGACATACTATACATACACAGTTCTGTCCAAATAGCTTCCCTTTTGCATCATACAGTAGGTGCCCTTTAAACAATTATATTTGAATTACGAAAGTCACATAAGTTACTGTATAATTTCACATCTGCCACATCTGTAATGAAGAAATGTCAAATTCATGATTTATATATATATATATATATATATATATATATATATATATATATATATATATATTTTTTTTTTTTTTTTTTTTTTTTT